GAGCCAAGTGTGAGCTGTGTCTGGGTATGAACCTGGCTTGGCTGGGCTGTAGCACCCAACAATAAGAACCAGAATGGGTGGGGGCCAGACAGGAAAGGTCACTATTCTGGCTAGGACAGAAGGTTGACTAAGGAGGCCTGGCCCATGGACCTACCAGTGTGTGTGAGATCTGGCTTTGGGAGAGGTTCCGATGAAGGAACTTGGCAACTCCTCTGTTGGGACACAGTCCCTGCAGGTCAGCCTAAGACCCAAGAAAGGGAGCAGCCCAGATCAGACCAAGCCAGGATATGGTACCCAGGGGCTTATCTTTGGCTCAGGCCTAGGGCAAGCCAGGCTGGGTCAGTTCACATCACCGACTGGTAAATCCAAGAGCCACAATGGTGTGTGGGTTATGCCAGGTCAGGCCACAATACCAGCCAGTTCACACAGTTCAGGACTGGGGGCTGGGTGGGTTGGTTAGGCTGTAGTTCACACCAGTGTGAGCTGGAACTGGGGGCTGGCTGGGCCGAACTAGACTACAGCACCCACTGGCAAATGCCAAGATGAGGTGGGTCATGTCAGACTTGGCTGCAGCACCCAACCAGCACACATGAGAACCAGAGGGAGAGGGTGTGAACCGGATCCCCTGTTGGGCCAGTATTTCCACTAACGAGCGTGAGATTTGGGATTGGGGGCAGACCAGGCTGGGTAGGGCTACACCTGTTGGCTTGCATGTAAGCTGGATCAGGGACAAGCCAGGTTGGGCAGAGTGTACCTACCATACATGCATAAGTCAGAGAGGATGACAGTTGGTTGGGCTTTGCCGCAACATCAGCTGGCAGATGCTGGCACAGGGGGAAAAACTGTTAAGCTAAACTGCAGAACCACTTGGAGAGTGTAAGATCTGGGACTGGGAGTAGACCCAGTAGGGAAATAGTGGGCACCACCTTCTTGAGAGCCAGCATGAGAACCAGGACTGGGGCAGGCATGACTAAACAGATAGTGTGGGCTGGATAGTGAGGTTGGTTGGGTTGAACTAGGATTCAATGCCCATTGACATGCATGAGAGCTGAATGGGACGTGGGACAGACAGGACCAGTATGCTGTACATACTGGCAAGCATGGGCACCAAGACAGAAGGTGGACCTAGTGGAGTTGATTGAAGGTTGCTCCGACTAGGCTGCAGCTCCCATTGGTTTGCGTGGGGACCCAGTGTGTGGTGGGCAGGATCGGGTCTGGGCTCCAACACCCATCAGTTTGCGTAGAAGACGGGGCTGGAAACAGAACTGACCCAGCAATTGCAACCATCAGCATGTGCATAAGCTGACTGGGGCAACAGACTGTGCCAGACCCTATATTAGCAAGCATACACAAGAACCAGGTCTGGGATCCCCCAAACTGAATAGCTGGACTTAGAACCCCAGCCATGGAGAGAATTGCAGATTCCATGGTCTGACCATGGAATGCATGTGTCACAGCTGGGACTCCTCAGTGGCTGCAACAGAGCAGCAGACAGCATTGCCAGGTGCACATGGAGGATATGGCAGTACACTGCAGTCTGCAAAGGACACCTGGTACCACGGCAGAGGACGGAGGACAGAATGAATCAATCATCTTCCTCAGCCAAGACTTGGCAGTGAAAATCTGGGGAAACAGAGATTCTAAGGTGGACTGTATCAGCTGGTGTATTCTGGAGAGATTTCCTCATGCTTGGAGTGGCAAGATCGGCAGCAATTCAGAACTGTTGAATTATCAAAACCTCTTGAGCAGGACCCTCAGAGCATGCCCCACATCGGGGACCTGGGATGGTTGGGAGGCTGGCTGTGGCTTCTCCCCTTATCCCTTCCCTACCCCTAGATACAGGAAGAAAAAGAGAATGTCAAAACAATGGTCACACCCATTTTCCTAAAGCCCTTGACCCTTCGCATTGTAATCAAATATGTAAAAAGTATCAAAAATAAAATTTATACAGTAAAGAAAACATTGTCATAAACTGAAGTGACTATTTTTTCAGTGGTTACCCCTTCTTCTGAAGATACAGTTGGTGATTCTTTGGCTTGCAGTACAACTTGAGTCTGCTTTTTGTGTATATGTTCTTGGAATGAGTTTATAATTTTCAAGGTTATGTTTTGTATTTCAGCATCTAGAGGCTTGTTTCTTAATCCATGTTTGAAAACATAGATAAAAGCTTTGATATAAATTGCACAGCAGTTTCTTGTATCATGTGAGAAGGCGGTTGGCGAGCCTGTCTGGGCTCATGCTGAGCAATCTGTAATGTTCATGATACCTTTAAGAATATTTTCTACATCAGCCTCAGCTTATGCAGCATACTGAAATGGACCTCAGTCTCCAGAGAGGGTTGGAACTAACTGTCAGTCATTTTCCTTAGAAGTTGAAACCATTCTACAACCACTGGTGATATAATTTTGTATGCTCTCACGAGATCCAAATTGTGGCAACAAATTAGTATAAATCATTTGAGCCACCACTTGAATAACCTCATCATCATTAGGATGTAAAAGGTTGGACATTCTGCATAACCATATGTTTTTCTCTAGAGATCTTTTGACACAACTGTGCTTACTAATATCATGTGAAAGAAATCTAATCCCATGTATAAATTCTCTCCAGAATGTTTGTGTTGGGTTCTATACAAAAAATTTTTGAGAGGAGGCAAGACATTATGTCCTTTAAGAACTCATGAAATTTGTTAACTCCGGGAAGAGTCGTCGATTTCACAATTCTAGGGCATATCTATCTTTTTTTCTTTTTACATAGTTGATAGGGTAGGAAGGGTTGAGGATCAGGGGTAGTGGGTAAGACCCCTGTTTACACATTTTTTTCTTTTTCCTGTATATGGGAGAGACTGTCAATATGTACAGATTTTTTTTTTCTCTACAGAAAACATGTTTTTTGTACAGAAAATCTTTGAGACATTACGTTCTCTAACAACTCATAAAATTGCCCAGAAATTTGCTGTCAAGTTTCACTGGGGTAGTTGATCAATTTGTTTTGCCCTCCATCCTCAGCAAATCAATAGATGCTGTAGCCTAGCCTAACCCTGCCAACCAGAGGCTTGGCCCTCACGTACACCAGGGGGAGCTGCAGCCCACAGCGACCCCCAGTAGCTCCCGCAATGGTTTCTATGCTTGCCAGCAGGTGCAGTGGACTGGTCCTGTCTATTCCACATTCCATTGGGATCACATATACATCATTGGGCATTGAAGCCTAACTTATCCCATCTGACTATATCTTTCAGCCGACATTCTTGCCAGTGGGTGCCATGGCCTGTCCAGCCAGGCCCACCTCCAGTCCTGGTTCTCATGCTCTCCTGTGGGAGTTGCAGCCCATCAGAGAGGTTCCCACAACCCTTCCACTGAACCCACTCCCCACCTTGGATCTTGTACTCTCAAGGTTATTCTGCAATCTAGCTTAACAGGACTTGCCCCAGTCCCAGTATTTGTCAGTTGATGCTGTGGTGAAGTGCAACCAGATTGCCGTATTCTGGTTCATGCCTGTTCCTATGGATACAATCAATCACCCCAGCTGGCTCTCCTCTTCACCTGGTTCCCATGTAGGCCAACAGGTGTTGTAGCCCTGCCCAGCACAGTCAGTCCCCAGTTTCAGCTCTCAAGCTTGCCAGCATGGCAGTGGCCCAGCATTGGCATCCTCACTACTCCCCTACCAGGCTCAACTACCCCCTCTCCCATCCCAGTCTCATGTGTGTTGGCAGGTGCTGTGACCTAGTCTGGTGCCGGCAGGTGCTGTAGTCTGGCCTGGCCCGGTCAGCTCCTATTCCAGCTAATGCTGGTTGGAGCTGCTGCCCAGACTGGCTTGATCAGCCCCCAGTCCCGGCACTAATGTGAACTGGCAGGTGGTGTGGCCAGACCCAGCCCGTCCTGCATTCCATCCTGGTTCTCAGATCTGCCAGTGGGTGTTATGAACTGGCTCAGTCTGGCTCACCCTCATACCTGACCCACACATATGCTGGGGGTTTGTAACCTGGTCTGCTCTGGGCTGTTCCTTGCTTTGGTTCTTGCACTCAACTGCAGGAACTGTGCCCTGACACAGGAGTTCCCCAACCTCCTCCACTGGGTCTCTGCTCAGTGGCAGATCTTGCGCACACTGGTGGGTCCTTGGTCCAAGCTGGTTCAGTCCACCTCCTGTCTTAGCAGGGATAGTAGCCTTGCCCAACTGGCCCATATCCAATCTGGTTCTTACTGTTGGGTGTTACATTCACACCTAGTCCACGCTCTGATGTTGCTTTCACGTGGCCCAGTGGGAGCGGAAAGGTAGCCCAACCTGTCCTACACCCACCCGGGCTCCCAGGAGCACCAGTGCATGCTGGAGTCTGGCCCAGTTGGGCATGCCCCAGAGCCTGTCCACGTAGGGCATGTTTGATCTGTTTTCAGAAACCATTTGTGGTAAGTGCTGATAATTTAAAATATCATTATGAAAAGGATGATTTCAGAAATGCTCTGATAAAACAGGTCGACTTTTACATACTTAGGAACGAACTATAATGAACTTTGTAGATTGAGAGAGAGGGGAGAGAGAGACAGAAAGATCATCTGTCCACTGATTCACTCCCCAAGTGGACGCAATCACCACAGCTGAGCTGATTGAAGCCAGGAGCCAGGAACTTCTCTTGGGACTCCCACACGGGTGCAGGGTCCTAAGGCTTTGGGCCATCCTCGACTGCTTTCCCAGACCACAAGCAGGGAGCTGGATGGGAAGTGGAGTAGCTAGGATACGAACCTGCGCCCCTACGGGATCCCAAGGTCACTAAAGGGCCGCGCCACCGCCTGCAGCCAGACACGCCTCCTCCGGGGACCGAACCTAATAAGGCAGAACCACAGACTGGCGCCGGGGACTGACGCAGGGCAGGCGGAGCCGGCCTTGCGCATGCGTAAAGAGTTCTGAAAAAATGCGCGCGCAGACTCGGTCTCCGCTCCTCCCGAGGCTCCGCCCAGCTCGCTCTTGGGGGGGCGGGACCGAAGTCGGACGCGCGTGCGCGCGAGGAGCTAAGTGGGGCGGGACCGCGCGGCGGAAGAGGCCGGAGCGCTCCGGGACACGATGCAGGTAAGCCGGGGAGCGTGTTCCGTGCCCGCGACCCCCGGTCGTTTCCGGGCGTCGGGCTGGGCGGCCAGGGTGTCCCAGCGGCTCGCAGAGGCTGGGTGACCCCGCTCCCGGCCCCGGGGAAGGGGTGCTTGTCATTTAGGGTGGGTCCTCGCCAGGGCTTATGAAGGACTTGGCGGATCCCACCTAGCCACAGCCTAGAGCAGGTGTGTCAGGAACCCATTGTCAGGATTTGGAAGTTGAGTCCCGGGAGGTTCCATCCCGTACAACAGGGTTGTAGTTTGGGTCCCTGGCTCAGTGCATTAGCAACTCCCCTACATACTGGTGCTCAAATAGGGGCGCGGTCCCTTGTAGGTCCTCGGGTTCCAGCCAGGGTACTGCCAGGCAGCATTAACCTCCTCCTTAAATGAGTCAATTCCAAAGCCCCCAATTTGGTGCTTTTTGTGATTGGAATTTGCCAGCGGGATTTGACCGCAGTCCAAGAGAAATGAATGAAGACGCCCGGGAAGTGGTGGGCTCCTGGGAGTGGAAATCTGTGACACAGTTGGATCCTCTGCCTGGGAGCAGGACTTGTGTTGCCGTAGTGTCAGCTGCCCCGGAGGATGAGACATGGAGTTGGCATGGGCGGGGAGATGCACAAACAGGTGTCTCCCACATGCGGGACAACGTCTGCAGTAAGTTCAAGGGCTGCCCTGGCCTTCATTGGCCTATTGGCCTTCAGGTCCCTGCTTTCAAATGTCACTTCTTCAGGCCTCGCCTGATCTGCTCGACCACAGGATTCCTGGCTCTGCTTCTCAAGCAGGTGGACTGGCGCCGGGTTGTCCTGGGGCACCCTCCACCCTACTCTCCGGCTTCCTTTTTAAGACCCAGTCTGAGATGGTGCTTGGGCAGCCAGGGTCTCTATCCGAAGGGTTGATCCGTGGTAGCTTGGCCAACTTCCAGACAGCTTCCCCCGTCCCATTAGGTTTGAGAAGATTGAGTAGATGCGCACACAGGCTCTGGCAGAGTGCTCCCACCTTAGTGTTTAATAGACACGAGCTGTTAGCGGCTCCGCCTCCCCAGGTGGTGTCTCAGCGCCTGCTCTCGGTTCTCTGTTCTGCAGTTTGGCCTTTGGAAAATTCTGGCAGCCTGCTCAGATTCTCCTGCTTGCACTGGCTGCTAAACCTCCCTAACCCTCCCCTGTGAGCCTCGGCTCTGTTTCCCTGGAGATCCTGGCCCTGGCCTGTGAAATGCAGCCCCCCGCCCCCATTCTAAATCAGCTTTCTGTTACTGAGTTTGCCAGGTTTGTTCTAGAAAGATAAGTAGGTATAGTTCCTACAAGTGTACTGCAAGATGTTCATGGAAAAAGTCCAGACTTAAGTATCAGTGTTGTGGCACAGCAGGTGTCAGCTTCCTGCCTGTCAGCATTCCCTGTTGGACACCTGACTGCCTAGAATCTGCTTTTCTGCTCTACAGGTGAGAAGGCAGTGGAAGATGACCTGAGTACTCCAGTGGCTTTCACCTGTGTGGAAGACTCAGCTGGGATTCTGGGCTTTCGGCTTCCACCTGGACCAGTCCTGGCCCTTTGGGAGTGAACCAGCGGGTGGAAGATCTCCCTCTCTTTTCCTTCCTCCCTCCCCCCACCCTGCTTTTGGTCTGCCTTTAAAAAAAAATGAATAAATAGACACACGAATGTTTGTAAAAGATACATATTTTGTAACCCATGCCTGTTTTTTCGTAGTATACATTTTTCTGTGAACTTTTGAAGACTGTGTGTGTTACTGGTTCATTGCCTGGCTCCTCCTCTGGGCTATAAGGAAGGTGACTTCCATTCAGGATACTTCCCTGTTGCTTGCATCTTTTAAATTTACTTTTCTTTATTTGAGAGACAAAGAGTCAGGCTGTCCCAGACAAGCCAGGTCAGAGCCTTGGCATCTGCACTGGTGCCAGCTCACAGATCAGATCCTGATGTTTGCCCCAAGATCAGCTGCCCCACATGGGGAGGGAACAGAGGGCAGAACTAGACAGGGATTGGACAACTGGGGCTGTGGGGCTTTGAACACTTGCTTGATTTGTGTTGCCTGTCACCTTGCCCTTGGTTCATGTCTTTGCAATCATGGTAGCCTTGGTTCTGCTGTCCTAGGACCCTAACGCAGACACCGAGTGGAATGACATCTTACGCAAAAAGGGCATCCTGCCCCCAAAGGAGAGTCTGAAGGAACTGGAAGAGGCGGCGGAAGAGGAGGAGGCACGCAGACTCCAGCAGTCAGCGGGTGAGTGAGCTCACGCTGTGTGAGCTGTGTCTGGGCTTGGAGACAGTTCTCAGGCCTCCAGCTCCTCCATGGCGCTCCTCTGAGGGAGAGTCAGGACACAGGCTGCGTTGCAGGACCTGGCGTGAGTCACAGGACGTCCCTGGTCATCACCTTTCTGGCCCCTGAGGCTCTGCCCGTGTCACCTGATGCTGCAGGAAGTATTTCTTCTGAGTCTTTGTGATGGTGGCTCTGCTGGTAATGTCACGGAACGTGTTCAGAGGTTGTGTATTCTCCTGGGGTCGTTCTTCATCTGTGTTTTGCTCCAGAGTGTTGAAGTGGTTTGATCTGGGGAGGCACAAGGTGTTTGCAGCATGTGAGTTCCGAGAGGGGGTTTTCCTCAGCTCTCAGATGCCTCCTGAAAGCATTCCCTGACCCTGCCTGGTCAGAATCTTCAGGTGAGGCCCAGCAATCTGCCTTTTAAACAAGTGTCTTACAGGACTTTTAGGGGCCGGTGCTGGGCCCAGCAAGTTTATCTTCCACCTTCAAGGCATCCTAGGGTGCCAGTTCACTTCTGGCTGCTTGACTTCTCATCCAGCTTCCTGCTTATAGCTGGGAGAGTGGTGGAGGATAGCCCAAGGCCTTGGGACCCTGTACCCATGAGGGAGACCCTCTAGAGTCTCCTGGCTCCTGGATCAACTTGGCTGCAACCAGCCATTGCGGCCATTTGGGGAGTGAATCAATGGATGGAAAATCTGTCTCCCTTTTGCGTATAAATCTGCGTTTCCAATAGAAATTAAAACAAAAAAAATAAAGGGGAAAAAAAGGACTTTTGATACATGCAAAGTTTAACAACTGTTGACCATAGGGACTCGTCCTTTTGTCTCCTATGGACACGGTAGAGCTGATTCAGGGAAGGACTGATTAGAAAGTGTCCAGCAAATGCCAAGTGAACGATGACTGGGAGTCAGGTGCTGCTCTGGGCACCAAGGCTTACTTGTGCAGAAGCCAGACTGAATTCTATGTCCTGCTGGAACTGACATCACAGTGGCAAAGACAGGTGGTAAACAAATAAGGGAAAGGCATTTGAGGGAGTTGGAGCAGAAGTAGGCACAAGTCTACACAGAGAGGGCCTGAGAAGATGGCGCTGGTATAAGGACCTGAAAGGATGTGAATAGGTCAGAAGACCTGAAGGAAGTGTGGGCTATAAAAGACAGCTGAGTGAGGACCTGACGGGTTAGGTGAGCAGGTTGAAAAGCGGGTCTGGCTGCAGAAGACTCCACGAGGAGGCCATTCTGTTTTGCTGTGAGTATGCCTCATGATACAGGAAGCTTTTGGAGGCTTATTAATTAATTAATTTTTTAAAGAAGGTTTATTTATTTGAAAGGCAGTTTAAAGAGCTTGAGCTCTTCCATCTGCCTTTTCATTTCCCAAATGGTGGTAGCAACTGAGGCTGACCATGCTGAAGCCAAGAACCTAGAACTCCGCCTCAGCCTCACATGTGGGTGCAGGGTCCCAAGAGCTTGGGCACTCCCTGCTGCTTTCCCAGGCACATCAGCTGGATCAGAAATGGAGCAGTTGGGACTTGAGTGGGCACGCATTGGGATGCAGGTGATGGTCTAACCCACTGTGCCACAACACCAGCCCCTTCACTCTGGCAGCATTGTGCTGTTGCTGCTTAACTGACTGTGGACTTTGGGGGTGGGATGGGTACACAGCAGGAATTGGAGGACTGTTCTGGAAACAGCAGCAGTGCAGCTGGTTGGGGTGATAGGTTGCATTAGTTTGGAATGATGTGCAGGTGGGAATGGCAAGTAGTGGCCACATCTGGATGTAATTGGAGGTCGGACCAGTGGGGTTTGCTGATGGACCTAAGGAACGATTAGAGAGCTTCTGGTCACCTGGGAGATGCTTCACTCAGCTCTGTTTGTTTAGGTTATTTTGGAAGTTTAAGTTCAAGATTGGGGACCATATTGGTTTGGCCTCTAATGTTGGTGCTGGTGTTGGAGCAAGGAGAGCGAATATAGAAAACAGTCCCCCAGCCAGCCAGGAAGCAGAGTGCTTGAGTCCACCTTGGCTTTTTTTTTTTTTTTAAAAGATTTATTTTTATTATTTTTTGATTGGAAAGGCGGATATACAGAGAGGAGAGACAGAGAGGAAGATCTTCCGTCCGATGATTCACTCCCCAAGTGAGCGCAACGGGCCGATACTTTGCCGATCCGAAGCCAGGAGCCTCTTCCGGGTCTCCCACGCGGGTGCAGGGTCCCAAAGCTTTGGGCCGTCCTCGACTGCTTTCCCAGGCCACAGGCAGGGAGCTGGAAGGGAAGCGGGGCTGCCGGGATTAGAACCGGCGCCCATATGGGATCCCGGGCGTGCTAGGCGAGGACCTTAACCACTTGCGCCACTGCGCCGGGCCCCAGAGTCCACCTTGGCTTTTACAGCCAATCATCTTGCATGAACTACAGGACTCTCCACCAGACCTACCTTCTACATGCCATAACTGGATTAAATTTCAACCCTCTTGGTGCTATAATTATGAGTTTGGGATTTAGACAGCAAGAATGCTGAATGCGTGAATTTAGAAGGCAAGTCTTGTGCAAATCACGGCAGCACGACAGGGTGAGTGTGTGCCGCTGTGATTTTGTCCCCAGCTGAGATGAGGCAGGCTTGGAGAGCAGCACATTTGAAGGAAGATGGGGTTTCTGTTTGGGACCTGTTAAGGTGGGGAGCAGTCAGGCCGGTGTGTTTGTGAAGGCTGGACTTGGGGGTGTGACCGCTGGAGCTGTAAGCCTGCTGCCACAAGGTTCCATGTGGTTGGCCACCAAGGTAGAGGGGAAGGAGAGGAATCGGATGACTGAACCCTGAAGGGGTCTTTTCTGCAGTGTTGTAGGGGAGCACAGCTGTGAAGCAGGAGAAGGGGCTTCCTGGGAGCCAAAGGTGTCCATGGTGGCTCGTGGCAGATGCTGCCTCTGGTCAGAATGCAAATGGGAGTTGACTTTGATCCGAGAGTGTTGCTGGGGGCAGAGCACAAGCCTGATTTGTGGTCAGAGAGTGAGACTCTGTGACTGTAAAAATGAGATGCTGGTTACGTAGCAGTTGGTTACAAGGAAAGCAATGAGCAGGAAGTACAGGCTCATCATCTCTTGACTAACCTTCCTGCCAGCAGCCTTGAGCTCCTGGGATAGTAGGATTGTTGGTAGACCTGGCCAGCAGGGTGTGTGCGCCTGGATCAGACCCAGTGACTTGAGGCATATGCCACTCTGGTGTTGTAAAGCCGGGAAACAGCCCGCCCATGTTCTCATCGTGCGGAGCTGAGATGCTCCAGGCTGGAGGTATTGACACAGGCTTTTCTTCTTCTTATTTGCCGGGTAATACTTGAAGTGATCTTTGTTTCGGAGAGCTGGGGTCTCCTGGTATCATGTGCACAACTTTAGGGAGAAAAGTGAAGGGGAAAATCCCAAATCACACTTGTTCATCTTTACTTTCTTTGCCTTGACCAACATAACTGAATTCAGTGAAAACGTATGAAGCCATGACGCTGGAAGAACTGGAAGAAAATGAAGATGAATTTAATGAAGAGGATGAACGTGCTATTGAAATGTACAGGTTAGTGCCACTCCGAGGAAATGTATGGTTTTTTCTTTTGCATGGTAATAAAATGTGTGTCTGTTGAAAAAGTGTTTTTCTGAGGGCTGGTGTTGTGGCACGGTGAGTTGAACCATCACCTGTAATGCTGGCGTTCTATACGAGTGCTAGTTAGAGTCCTGGTTCTTCCACTGCAACTCAGCTCCCCGCTGTTGTGCTTGGGAAAGCAGCAGAAGATGGCCCATCCCAATGTTTGGGCTCTGCTGCCCATGTAGGAGACCCAGATAGAGAACCAGGCTCCTGGCTTCAGCCTGGCCCCGTCCCTGCCATTGTGGCTATTTGGGGAGTGAACCAAAGGATAAATCTGTTAACTTTGCCTTCACATCAATAATTCTTTTTTGAAAGATTCCTTTTCTGCTGAGGGGAAGTTTGGGAAGGACCACAATTAAGCAACAGTAATACAACTCTCTACAAGTTGGAAGTCATGAAGCCTAGATCTTTGCAGTCACTGCTCTCTGGAAGGCGTGTGCGCATGCGCGTGTGTCTGTGTTGAGGTGGTCTCTCTTCCCTGTCATTCAGGCAGCAAAGACTGGCTGAGTGGAGAGCAACTCAAAAAAAGAAAAGATTTGGAGAAGTTTTGGAGATTTCAGGAGAAGATTACGTTCAAGAAGTTACCAAAGCTGGTGAGGGCTTGTGGGTAATCTTGCACCTCTATAAGCAAGGGTGAGTGGATCGTTTTTTGTGTTTTGTGTTTTAGAACATGAATTTTGATGTATGTGTTCAAATGATATCAAGCTTGTTTGTTGTTAGTGTTAAGTGTTTCTGTTGTTTATTCAAGCTTGAATGCCTAGTGTTTATCTTAAGACTCCCAAATTAATGTCTGACTAATACGATGCCTTGATTCCCTTTCGTTGAGAGGGAATTCCTGGGTTATGTATCCCTCCAGAGGGACTGGAGCACTCCCAAGCCTGTGTCATCCACGGCTCCTGCAGATGGGCAGGGCTCGCCTGCCAGGCACTCGGTGTGGAGGGCCTCCAGTGCTCCTCTCTGCCCTGCTCTGCTCGTAAGCTCTGGAGCTCAGGGCTTGGTTGGGCATTTCCTTAAAACAGGAAGTACATTCTGGCCCATTCCACACATTCTGAATCATTCGACCTCAAAGAAGGAGGTAGCAGTTGCCTTTGATGTTGAGGCTATCTTATTAAATTGGACTTTGGATTTTAAGTTTTCTATTTCACTTGGATATGCCAGGAAGTTTTTTAAAATGCTGATTCCTCTTAGCTGGTAGCAAAATCCCAGTGGCCTCTATATTCTGTTTCCATGTTACAGGATTCCCCTCTGTGCCCTGATAAATCAGTACTTGAGTGAACTTGCCAGGAAGTTTCCTGATGTGAAATTTATCAAAGCCATTTCAACAACCTGCATACCCAATTACCCGGACCGGAATCTGCCCACAGTGTTTGTTTACTGGGAAGGCGACATCAAGGCTCAGTTCATTGGGCCTCTGGTGTTTGGTGGCATGAACCTGACGAGAGACGGTGAGGGCCCTGGGAGCCGCACCGGGTGTGTCAGAGCTGGGGAGGGGTGTCTGTTGCAGAGGTGTGTGTTCCCCGGGACCGTGCCAGGGTCCCCTGTGTGCTGCCATGTGGCTGACTGGCTAGTCAGAGTGGTACAGCCAGGTAGATGTGCTTAGCATTAACGCCCAGCACGTTGTGTTTGTCCCTGCAGCTGAATGTTTGTTCAATGTAGCTTAAGATCCTAGCATTCATTCTTGGTTCACATCAACTGTATTTGAGGATAGTTGAGAAAGTTCATGGTATAATGAAATTAAAAGAAAATTTTATTTTGATGCAAAATATTTTTGGGGACTCCTCATGGGTTTTTCTTAATACTTTTTTTCCATGCACTTGTTGAAGATGTGTATGTGTTTTTTTCTAGAAACATTTTCTCAGTTCAGTACCTTAATAGCTTTGAAATTTAAATCTTGTTTATTTTTGCCTGTAACCATGGTGGCCGCTGTCTATTTTATCAGTGGCATCGGGCATTTTTTTTTAAACTTATTTATTTTAAATTTGTTTTTAATTTTAGATGCCATTAACATCATAGTGGGATTAAGGATTAGTGATCACAGTTTTCGCATTCTGTTTCCCCTTGTTTCGGGGTGGGGGCGGGGGAAGGAGAAGTGCTGTAAATAGCACTCCACTGTCACAGGTTTACTAGTGTCTAGCAGTCACAGTGCAGAAGAGCACAGAGGCTCGTCTTTGTGCTTTGCTTTGGTGACACTGCTTTCTGACCTGGGAACTTGTCTGACTTGGAAAGTAAGGTGCAGTCGTGCTCCTTGGTTGAGGGTGTAGGGGGCATGGATCAGCAGTGCCTTATCACGTGGTCCTGTTCACTGTCAGGTCCATTGTGGGAGGGGCTTGGCTAGGAGCGAGGTGTGGTGACAGGCAGGCTTCGTCATGAGCTCGGGGCCTTTGGGCAGGTCTGTTCTGTCTTGGAGCTACCTCGGTTTATGCATTTCCCAGGGGGTCTGTGAGCAGCATGCCGTCATCTGAAAGTTTGTATTGGACAAATCCCTGTCCTGTTGCCTTGATCCCTGGTAACCACCTCTCCTCTCTGTCTTGGAGTACTTTAAATTGATGTGACTTCAGTCCTCTTGGTCATCAGATTTCCTGGGAAGTGTCTGACTGGCAGAGCGTCTCTGCAAGCCTTTTGTTTTGTTCCAGTGTTAGTATAATGCTGCCGAAGTGAGCACGAGCCTTTGGTTTTGGGATCCCTTGAGAGCCCCTTAGTTCTGCCGCACAGAGTCTCAGGCTACGTAAGGTTCATAGGGTAGGAGGGAGTGCAGACAGACAAACGGAGCCCTGCTCCACTAGTCTCTGGGTCTTTGCTCTTATTATTACTTGGGACGACTGTCGTATCCAGGGCATCTGCATACGTTTGTCCTTTGACCCTCCTAGATGGCAAAGTTGAAGCTGAAGAATTTCCTTTGGTTAGCTAAACTTAGGTGTTGTGACCAGAATGTCTGCAGGAGGGTGGATCTTACTTCAGTAAATGCCCCATGCCGATTTCTTTTCTAAGAAATCATCTGAGCTGAGGAGCTGTCATCACTGGAAGACGAGCTTATTTACATTTAATGTCTGTATATAGGTTCAAGTTCATGTCTTACTTTACTTGATCTTCTGAAACAGTGATTAGAAGCTCCATAAGGTGTTAACTCCGTCCCCCCTCTCTTCTCGGGACAAAAGTTGACATGAAATTTCGAGGTAGTATTTTCTGCTTGCATGTGACTTGCCTTTCCTTGGTCCCCTAGAGTTGGAGTGGAAACTGGCTGAGTCTGGGGCCATCGAGACGGACCTGGAGGAGAACCCCAGGAAGCCAGTCCAAGACTTGCTACTGTCCTCCATGAGGTGCTCTGTCTCCACCAAGAGGGACAGCGATTCGGAGAGTGACTGAGACGCTGCACTTCTGGACAGGACACATTGGATATTTTCTTTCTAACAAAGAGTGAATCTTTTTGTTTGTTAGCCTTTTATATTATATTTCAGATCTCCCACCTTTCACACATAGTCACTGCCGCAAATTGTAATAAATTATTGGAACTACATATATTTTTTGGAAAACTGTATTTTTAAAATAATGACATTTCTTTTTTTTTAAAGATTAAAGCCTACTGTTTGTATGGCAGATGCCTGTATTTTTTTCTCACATTTAAGAAAGCCCTAAAATTATTCATTATGTTTCGACATGTAACTATATAAAAATGGATATGTGGAGTTTTTTTGGAAAGTAAATAAATTATACTTTGGAAAGGTTATGCACTGCATTTTACAGTTGCATTGTTTGTTTTTTTTAAATGGTTTATTTATTGACTTGTAAGGCAGAGAACGAGTTCCTCCATCTTCTGGTTCACTGCTTAAGTGGCCATAACTGGGCTGTACTGAAGCCAGGAGCCTCGAATGCCATCTTGATCTTGCATGTGGGTGGCAGAGGCCTGTGTATTTGGGCTGTCCTCCTCTGCTTTCGCAGGTACATTAGCAGGAAGCTGAGTTGGAAGCAGAGCATCTGGGACTTGCTCGCAGGCTTAACCCATTGCATCACCCCACCCGCTCTGTGTTCAGTTGTGTTTCATAAATAAAGCAACAGGGACCCGGCGTGGTAGCCTAGCGACTAAAGTCCTCATATTACACACACTGGGATCCCATATGGGTGCCAGTTCTAATCCCAGCGGCCCCACTTCCCATCCAGCTCCCTGCTTGTGGCCTGAGAAAGCAGTCAAGTATGACCCAAAGCCCTGGCACTCTGAACCTGTGTGGAAGTCCTGGAAGAAGCTCCTGGCTTCGGATCGGCACAGTACTAGCTGTTGCGGTCACTTGGGGAGTGAATCAGAGGATGGAATATCTTCCTTCCCGTCTCTTCTCCTCTCTCTATATCTGACTTTGCAATAAAAATAAGTAAATAAAGCAATAAGATGATTAATTCAGTTGAAATAGAGATTCCAAGGAAAAGAGAAAAACATTTGCCCTCTTTAGAAGAAATAAACAATGTTTTTGTGAAACATTTTATCGAAAGAAGGATTTTGATTTCCTGCTTTGTGTCTGGTTAAATGCTTTTCTGGTTAAATCATTAATACCTTGACTATCGGGGAGATTGCCTCACGTCATTACTATACAAAGGCCTCATTAAATTATTTTTTGGAAATAAGCAAGGTGGAAGCACGCACATAAACTGTCTCAGTGATTAAAACACATCAAGATGTTTTGTGGACAAGCGTGACTCCATGTACTGCTTCTTGTCAGGTTGACAGATTCCCTAGTGTTCGTGTTGGCTGATGTAGCGCTTGATGCTGAAGGACTCGGCACAGAATTCTTTCCACATACGTGGTCGCTTTTGTTTCTGCTCGGACTGGTTTACAGTGGCTGGTGCCCATTTCGCCAGTATCCAGCAGCAGCGTCTCTCGGTGCTGCTTGCTTTCTTACCATGCATCAGAACCAGCTGATAAAAACATACAGCCAGGGCTTCCCCTGAAGGGTGTCTCAGGACATCTCAGACAGTTGGCATAAGCTGGTTCAGTTCTGCCACTCGTGAGCTGGGTGGGAGAGCCAGCAGCCTTCTGGAGCTTTCTGTTGGTGGCTGATGACTTGTGGTGCTAGGGAAGAGGAAGGCTGGAAAGTTGGACGCTGTACTTGCTTGCGGGTCTAAGTGTGCGCGCCGAAGACACGGCTGGGCTCATGGGGACTTGACTGCTGTTCTGCTGGGAGCCGCTGCACAATCTAGTTCTAGCTACACTCGTTGTGCCCCATCACTCTGTTCCCGCAACAAAATGAGGCCCTTAGTTGGAGCACAGAGAAGACATAGGTGCCGATGGCCTTGGCTCACAAACTCTGCACAGTGCCTGGGATCCAAGCACTTGTTTTACTTAGGAACAGAAAGAAGCATCTGTATCCTAAAGTTAGGATTGTGATTTGGAACGTGCTGGACCCACATGTTTCTACAGGTTAGTTAAAACTTGCTGTTCTTTCCAGCGGAGTTCAGGGATGGCACAGGTCATGGGATGTGATGCATTAGTGGTGGGATTGTCCTGTTCCACAGCGGAATAGAAACAGGTAAATGGGGAGGCAGAGACCTGCGTACTGGCTTTCGGTGCTGGCAGGAAGAGGTCACAGAGTGCTAGGTAGCCCTTTGTTTTTCATGACGCAGTTCCATACGTTCAGGGATTCCCCCTCCATCCTCCTTCCAGCTGATTCCTCCTATGTTACAACAGTATGGGTTACAAATGTGATGGGTTCTGATTTCCTGGTGGAAGAGGAAATACGTGTTGACAGGGCATGTGGCTGACTCATTGCATGCACGGTGGGCTCACACGGGTCGTTCCCCACCTGTTTCACTGCCTGACTGGCCCTCTTCACGTTCTCAGCCCCAGCCTGCAGATCGGCAAAGTCACTGCCTGGGCCTGCAGAAAGACTTCAGCAAACTGGTACCAAGGGGCTGGCATGATGGCACAGCAGGTTATGCCACCACTACCAGCAATGTGGGTATCCTCACCCAAGAACAGGTTCAAGTTCTGACTGCTCCACTTCCAATCCAGCTTCCTGCTGATGTATCTGGGAGAGCCGTGAATAATGGCTCAACGTTCACAGGGGATGGGCACTGTGGTGTGATGGGTGAAGCAGCTGCCTACAGCCAGAGCCCCGTACAGGTGTAGCAGAGGAGGGCAAGGAAAACTGGAAAAGGAAATACCCAAGATGAGCTGCGATGTCTTAGGGTGCAAAGAAGTGAAAACCACCACAACGGGAAGTTGTGGAGGGGACACAGGAGCCAACTGACCTCAGCAACTGATTCTGAAACCATGTGAGCAGTAAAAATACTGGATTATAACCTAAGGCGCACCTTGAATATCTGTGAATCCATACTGGCGAAGAACTGATTGTATAAATAAATGGGGGAGAAGAGACCATTTCTTCTAGAGGATTCCAAATAATCCTTGCAGATATTCTTTGCTTATAAATGGAAATGGGAGTGAGATCAGCTGGTTAACTCATTCCTGAAATACCCTTCCCACTCCAGGGAAGGCTCTGCCAGCATTGGTGCTGATGCTTCCTTGATCCCACCAGAAGGTGGCGCATGTTGACAATTTCACCACCACTGCCGCTTGCCAGCCACTACCCTTCCATGCAACCTGACTCCAGAGGCCTTAAAAATCAAGCAAGAATACATAGAAGCATTGAAATCGTGTCATTTTATCCCACTGTGGGTGAAAGTGTATTGGCTTATTGTAAATTGACATTTTTAGCTTTCAATTTGGAAGCCAAATCATTCAATGTCTTTATCTACTTATCAGTATTTAAGATGTTGGTAATATCAACGTCCTAGTAGGAAAAACAGTGATTATTCCTTGATTGCCCATAAGAATCAGTGCAGTTTTTTTTTTTTAAGAAAAAAGGAAGTTTCAATTAGTTATTTTTTGGGGGGGTGGCATCTTTCTCTGAGACTATAACAATTCTTTTAATTTTCAAAAAATATGCATATATGTTAAAAGCATAAAGTTTTGGTTAACAGAAAGTTGAATCATTAGCAAACTAGTCCTTTGTAGATGAAAGTGTAGTGTGCAAACACGGCAGGCACACAGCACACACACACACGTGCACACTCGCACGCTGTTTAACTTGCCGTCACCAGTCAAGGCAGGATTGACAGTCCCGGCTCACTTTGCTTACTCTGCATCCAATGACTCGCCTGCTTCCTAGTCGGTGTCCCTGTCGTGTTGGGAGTACAGTCAGTCAATCCAGGGGCTGGGAGGACACTTGGCAGCTGTATTTACGGAAGAAGAACAGTTCTGTTTCTTAGAAGAAGTTAATGTTGTAGTTCCAAATTATGCTAAGGCATGCAAGTATTAAAATAAGTATTATTCATAAATAAGTATTATTCTAAATATCCAAGAAGAAATACTGCCATCCCGTGTATCTGCCAAACACCATGAGATCTACAAGCCGCACGTGGTCGACAGCTTGTGCAGCTTGCTTTTGTATGGGCTCATCCTTCTGGGGCTGGATTTTTTTTTTGGTGAACTGTATCATAAAAGCCAGGCACAGCTCAGGAATTAGCTCAAACAGCAAGCAAGGGGGTGGGGTGTCTTATTAGACTACACAAAATGCACAGACACATCACATGACTAAGTCATTAAAATGCATTCTTTTCATTTCCATCTGTTTTTTAAGCAGCCAGAAAAGTTTTTAGGACATAAAAGCTAATGAACTTGTTGGACCATGGGCCTGACATGATAGCGCAGTGGTTAAGGTCCTTGCCTTGCACGCACCAGGATCCCATATGGGTGCCAGTTCTAATCCTGGCAGCCCTGCTTCCCATCCAGCTCCCTGCCTGTGGCCCGGAAAAGCAGTCAAGGATGGCCCAAAGCCTTGGGAACCTGCACTTGCGTGGGAGACTCAGAGAAAGAAGTTCCTGGCTCCTGGCTTCGGATTGGCTTAGCTCCAGCTGTTGCGGTCACTTGGGGAGTGAACCATCGGACGGAAGATCTTCCTCTCTGTGTCTCCTCTCTGTATTTCTGCCATTCCAATAAAAATAAATAAGTTTTTAAAAATGAACTGGTTTAGACCCTATCTATTTCAATAAGAGAAACTATCCCAATATTTCTTCTGGCTTTGGTACACAATGGCAGAGCTGCACCATGAACCAATGGGAGTGTATGTGAATCGACTACTAAATTGGTGTGCTGGTTTGCAATGGATTCTGGATCTGTGTTGGAGGTAACAGATCCATCCCTGAGACTCAAATCCTTCTTAGTTAACAAAGGAGATTGTCCCTCTGTCGAACCAGTCCCTGCAAGGTGGTAGTAACTCCACACAGCCTCTGGAGGACAAACTTTCCTAGGACAGGCGCTGCCTCCTTCTCAGCAGTGTGTAAGTGAGCGTCTCCTGATGCCATTACTGCGTGCTTCCTTTCCTGACGCCTCTTCCATGGGAAAGATGTCACTGCTATAGCTGCTGGGAGAATTAGACGAGCTAAGATTCTGAAGCTCTTAAAAGAGTTCATTGATGTTGCATTGTCGGCACTGTCATTGTCTTCGTCATCTTTGTCGTCACTGCCGTTACTATTTTTGAAATCCCTAATGTTTTGGCATCATGGAAGATTTGCTCATGGTTGTTT